AAACCTACTACAATGGAAACAGTTAGTGCTTAGAAGGGATTCATTTTATATATGAAGATGTGGCATGAATCTATTTCTGGCTACTTTACAAATTATGGAATTATTTGCTTTATGTAAAAAGCCAGTTAATAAACGTCTTTTAGGGGGAGGTGTGCTGGGTGTTGAACCCAGGCCCTCATGCTGCTAGGTGGGTACCCTACCACTGAGGTAATCCCCAGCTGGCTGATTATTTTATTCCAAAGATACATAAACTTCTCCAGCTTGACATACTTTCTAGTTTATGTCTATACCACTGTAACACCCTTGTTTCCCTTTTAAGGATCTACGCTTTTCAGTCATCCAGTGATTTGATTTTGACCAAGAATATTTACACTGAGCTTCAGCGCTACTGTGGTTTATGTCCTGCTTTACCAGTTTTAGGTTGGCTATGCACCTCAAATAATAAAGATAATGTTTTCAGTAATGGGGAGATGTCCATTTTAAGTATTGGCAAGCACAATTGTCATATAGTACTATGAACTAGAGAAGTCTTTGCTAAGTTTACCATCTGCCTTTTTCTATCCTTTCACTATTCTCTTCTTTCCCATAAATTAGAACTTTGAATTGTCAGTGGCTCTTCTAAAATACAGCAGAAGCTGAAGACTACACAAGGTAGACTTATCAGAGCCAAGAAACGTATCTGATCAATGGAACCGTAAAGAAAGTTGCTCATTGTAATGGTGCAGTAATCTCAATATTGAGTCAGAAGAGGTGTCTTCCAGAAAGACAATGCTAATAAAAATGGAACCCTCTGGAACTGCTGAGAAAGCCTGTGCTTCTCATTAAGAACGAACCTCAGCTGATGATTCATGAAGCAGACAGATGAAAGAATCATTTGTGGTCCAGCAATGGCCCAAAGTCAGGAGGAGGGGATCTTTGCTTCTTCCCCGTGTTCTTTATTTCTTCAAGCAAGGAATGTTGCTGCACTAGGATTATCAGATTTAAATTTTTCTTCCATGAATTTTCATTTGGAAAGTGCTGTTAAATTAAATTTATGTTAAAGATCACTCATCTAGTGTGATTCAAACCATGCTGCCAAACCTGTGTAAAATGGAAAGCTGTCACAAGTTCCAGAAAGTACAAGCCAACTAAGGAGAAGGTATTGATCTTTCGTGTCCAAAGGGACAGCACAAATGAACAGCTGTTTGTGCTGCTGTTGAAACGAATGACCTGACTCACCTCTGGAGAACCGAATTTAAGGTCATGGCACAAAACATCAGCACTTACACTGACACTGTGCATGTTGAGAGAGACTGTTCTCTTCCCAGTCAGACTGATTTCTCCGTCTCTTCTCTACTGGATTATGATGGGAAATTCCATTTCAGAACATAGTTTTTTTTTTCCTATAAGGAAAAGTCTTAAGGAATCTAATCATCTGTGTAATTACAGGTAGTTATATCTAGTAATTACATGCAGTAACTTTTACAGTTTTCTAGGAATTTAAGAATTATCCTTAAAAACATCATTTATCCCAGGTACATACGAGCATTTTCTTTTTTATGTGCAGTGATGCACTTATTATTGCACGACATGTGATACATTTCAATACTTTTACATAGTTGGATTATATTCTAGTGCAAAGGTCATGTCTGTTTTCCATTGAAAAACCGGCAGACTTTTAAATCAGATTTGTCTTTTCTTAATTGTATTTAATCATATGATTGGAAAGTTGCAACATTCAGTGATTCCCAGTGGGTCTTCTATTTCTTCAACAAACAAGTGAAATGCTGCTTGGTTGGCAGTCACTCAAAGTGTTTTTAACTGCAGTGCACTTTATCATTATTCTTCTAAGGCCTTGGAATAAATAAACCGAACCTAAGAAGCTCCTCCTCAAAGGATTCAACTGTTTTGTAATTGCAAGCATTTAAAAACCAGCTTTTGAAATTAATTTTCCTGCAGTGTATCAACTATTAAAACAAGAGAAAAAGTCAGAAATGGATTGCAAATAGCATGCTTATTTATAGTTATTATGGAGGGTAGATAGTGGTTTTGCATATACTCTGAAATAAAGATGTCTTTTTAAAAAAATAAACATAATTATGTGGTTCTAAAGCACCTTTAAAGATTCATTGGCCCTTGGATAGACTGAACTTTGGTACCTTTGGCCTTTGTCTTCTCTTTAATGGGTTTTGATTTGAATTGAGAAGTGTTCAGTTTTTTTTTTTTTTCTACTTTGTCCTTGATGTGCGAGGAGGATAGACATTGCATGTACATTTTCTGGAATTATACTACTAGGAAATAACCTATTTAAATGGATGAACTGTTATTTTATGTCTAAGTGCTTCTGTTGAAAATAGAATCACTCTGTGAACAATGAGTGCATTACACTATGAAGGAATTTGATAGGAATCATCCCGAGGTTCTCACTGTGATATCAGCTGCACTGTAATGTGACATCATCAATATTCAGTGACATCAAAGTGAAACAGACACTGAATTGAGCAATCAGATGCTACTCATTCTTTAGGAGATAGATTATAAGACACTGGCTGGCTTTGAGACTTCACCTTGCCATTCTTTATGGTTCATTCTTAACCTAAAGGGCTGGTGTTCTGTAGGAAGATGAGTACAACCTGATGGGGATTTATGATTTTTAAATGTAATTTAAAGTGTGTTCAAATTTGTATTTTAAGTCCAGTCAGTTTGTTTATGATGTAAACTATGGAACTGAATAAATAAAGGGCCGCAAAGGAATCAGATGATTTTCATTTCCTTTTTTAAATGAAAATTTATGACACATTGGACAGTTGGATTGTCTGTGTCAATTTGGGCTGTAGTATCAGAATAGTAGAGGCTGGTAGCTTTCTTTTTTAGTGAATAGAAATTTGCTTTTCATTGTTTTGGAGGTGAAAAACCCAAGGTCAAGGCAACAGTGATTTGGTATCTGCTGAGGGCCCCTTTCCTCAGAGATGGCGCCTTCTGGCGGTATGTTTCCTTGATGGAATGGGTGGTCTCCTTATTGGAGGCATCTTCAGTAAGGGCACTAATGTTGTTCACGAGGGCTCCAGCCTCATGATCAAGTCTCCTTCCAAAGATCCCTCCTTCTGGTAACATCACCTGAGAGGGGTTAAGATTTCAACACGTACTTTTCAGGGATGCAAATACTCAGGCCATAGCAAAGAGGGTGGCAGAAAGAATCACTGTTATATATTGTGTACAAAAAAGGTTTCCAAGGAATAGGCTTAGCAGGGTATATGAATGGCAGCCAACAGAAGGAGGACTCAATTAGGAAAATCAGAGGGAAATGAAGGTTGTGTAAAATTTTACACTTTAAACAATTTCTAGTTGACCCTTGTCATTCATCTTGGGCTTAAATTCTATGACTGAGGATTCTGTATATGAATACTCGTAGAAATAATAAACGTGGAGTCACTACATTTTTTGTAGATGACATAATTGTGTGTAGTCCTGACTTGGTTCCACATATTGTGGAATACTTTGCTTCTGGAGTTTTATTTTGAGGAAAAACATATAACATCACACACAGTAAATGTAAATATGGTTTAATAACAATTTGTAAAAAATATGGTTAGGGATTCTGTGAGCAAGCAGGATGATATGATCTTCCTAAAGTTAACTGATGTAATATACTCTATCAAATGTTTATTCACAAAATAACCCCATGAACCTTACTTTTTATTATTTTGGTCGTATTCATAGAATCCTATGAGTATATAATGTAAATTGTAATTTTTCTCCTAGCTCCTATTTCACTGGTGCTACTTCCAAGAAAAATGAAACAAACAAACAAACACACCAAAAAAAAAAAAACCCACTAATTTAATCACATGTATGAGTACATACAAGATTAGAGGTCTTTCTTTGTCTTTTGGAATGTGCCTCAGTCACCTTCATAAAAATAAACTAGGCTCAGTTGTGAAGTTTTAGAACCTCTTTGGTGATGGTGTTGACTTTGTAACTTTTGATATAAAAATTTAAAAATCTCCCCTGCTTACATTTCATTGAGTTTGGGATGATGTACCATTAATGCGGGAGTTGGCTGGCGGGGAGAGGCCTCCTGAGGGCAGTGTGCAGACAGTGTCCTTGAGTTGACAGAATAGTTGTGAGTTACAAGTGTTGATTAGCTTCTAATTTTCTGTGACACTGTGGCTGATCTCTTGATCTGTGTCCATGCCTGGTTCTCCTAATTTACTTTTTCCCCCTCCTTGGGGATGGGTGAAAGTTGTATAAATATGCACAGATTTCTCTGATCTCTGCCCTTTGTGCTCAGCTTTGGTGGGTTAGGTGAGTGTTTAGCTTTTTCTGGGCAAACATTTTTCAATCATTAAACCTGGAGTGGAAAATGTAGAGAAAACAAATTTTTAACCCCCTTTATCTTTTCTAATATCTTCCAGAAGGTTCAAAGTGAAAATAATGAAGCCCTTTCATTTGCATGGTGATAAATAGCAAGTGTTGAAACTTTCTCTTTCCCTTCACGGGGTGGGGGAGTCCATGTGTACTATAACACAGGGGATGTCAAGGCTGCACGCTGGGATTTGTTCTCATCGAACTTCTTATTCTATATATTGAGGAGTTATCAAAATAGAAAGCAGGAGCTGTGGAAGAGCATGGTTTGTTCCAGTGTCAAGGTTAATACAAAATATATTGTTATCAGAATAGACCTGTTGTTCACCGAACTTGTGGTATTTTTAAACACATATGGAGCCAGACTGGAAGGGTGAAGTTTTTATTAGAATGTCAGTGAGAAGAGACCACGTGTCAGACAAGAATATGTTTTAAATGAAGAAGATTCATTAAAACATGGTTGTTACCTCCTTTAAACATCAACAAAGGGAAATTTTACGTTGATTTTTGCTTCTTCATGAAGCATGGTTTGAAAATATTTAAGTACCACTTCATCACTGGTATCTCACCTTATATAAATCCACTGTGTGAGGTCCTCACAGAATCCTCACGGTGGTGGCCATTTTTATATACCACAGGCTCTATCCCCTTGGAGAGGTTTGACTCGAACGTATTTCCTACCTTACATTAAAAACTGTTAAGTAACCATTCTGAGAGACTTCATGGTTACTTTTAGGCACATGTGAAAACAGAGATGCTTTAGCTCCCCTGGTTTGCTTTCTCTCTCTCTGACCTGGGGAAGAATTGTCTAGTGCCTCTGTTTGGGTGACTTCCTGAAGATAATGTATTTATTAAGACTCTATTCAGAGTTCTGTAGGGTGAAGATGGAAGAGTGGACACTGCTATTTCTAGGGAAGGTCGGGATACCTGTAATTGCCATTTGCTGCTTTCTCCTTCTAGGTGGATCAAATTTGAAGAGAAGGTGGAGCAGGGTGGGGAGAGGTGGAGCAAGCCCCATGTGGCCACGCTGTCCCTGCACAGCTTGTTTGAGCTGAGAACGTGCATGGAGAAGGGGTCCATCATGCTCGACCGGGAGGCCTCCTCTCTTCCCCAGTTGGTGGGTGAGTGCACTGTTTTGGATTCTTATTCCTCTTCTGGCTCTATGAATCTGTGAGTCTCTATCAATGCAGATGTCTACTACTATAAGCAGATTTAAATATTTTATAGCAGTCAGTCTTTCATTTTTGTTTGTGAAACAGTGTGGTCTACTGCTGAGAATTTGGAAAATTCAGAAAACAAAGCGTCATCTCTGGTCATAGCCATTAGTAACATTTTAGACTATCTCCTTCCCAGTTTATGTCCCAATGTTTTATGCTTTTCAGCTTTAGTATTGCAGTTAAGGCTATATTGATAGGTTCAGATTTGTATTCATTTCCTTAACTTATTAGCATAAGGTTAGTATTTTGCATAGGCCCTCTCCTCTGCCCAGCCTGGTTGTATTGGATTAGAAGTCTAGATGCTAGATTTCTTGCACTCCCTCACACTAGACATCACATGGAGCTTAGGTTTCATCACTTGTAGAGTTTATAGGTCCTGTAAGTGGGGAAGTAGTCTAGTTCCTGATGGGGCCTGATTGTCGGTGCATGTTAGGTATGTCACCTCTGTGTAAACAAAGGTCAGGTTAGGACAGGCAAGCAGAAGAACCTTACGGATTAGTGGCTGGGCCGGGACACACCTGTGTGGAGTTTCTTTTGTGGAATTTCTCTGCTGGAAATTCTGCCATGTAGACATTCTTTTCACTGAGACAGGCTTTTTTTTTTGGTCTATACAAATATACATACTCTGGAGGGCATCATGTTTCAATTCTATGAGATATAGGGAGGTGTCACAGAAAGAATGCTGAATTCAAAGTTTGAGGCTTTAATCAAAGTTTTCATGTGGTAGTGTAGATGAGTACATGTAAAAACAAGTTACTTACCTCTTTGGAGGCAGGTTTCCTCATCTGTGAGAGCAGCATGAAGGCAGACCTTTCAGAATCATTATGAGAACTCAGCAAGACCACCAGTTGTTATAATTTTATCCCAGCATAATTAGCTTATCCAGCTCTTCGAATGTTACCTACTAAAGGGCTGTTGAGTCAGGGAGAGAGATGCTCAGAGATATCACAAGCAGGAGAAAAGCTTCCAAAGGGTGTGGTAGGCAGAGCTGGAAACAGCTGGACAGCTTCTTTGCTGTTCTTGGAGCTAATAAGAAGGGCACTGAAAGTTAAAGTTGAATAAAACCTGTGGGCTTCTCTGTAAATCTGTCTTTATGATCTTCAGCACAGAAAGAGCCACTCTAAGGCACTTCTGGTCTTCCATAAGTAACTTGTCCTTTGCATGCAGTAGAGACAGAGTCCCACATTAAATTGAGACCTCTTTAGCCAACGGACACAGAAAAGTTCTGGTTTTTACAAAATTTAAGAAAGGTCAACCAAGGATTTGATGTTCTTGTTTTAATTTTCCATTACTTTTTAAAAAATCATCAATTGTGAACTTTTTATCTAACCTCCATGCATTTACTTTAAAAATTGTCATTACATTTTAAAATTAGACAAGACTCAGTCACTTTGAAGTATCATTGCTCACTAAAATGTTGCTCCACAGGCCCTGGGGCAAGTGGGCCGAGAGCCAGGGCTGTCATTCTGGAGCTGATAATATGGAAAAACAGTTCCGAGGCAAACCACACATCGTGAGCAAAACAGAGTGAGTGGAAAAGGACAGCTCTACAGGCATGCGGTAAAGAGTGTGACTGAAAGAGTGTAACTGGCTAACAAGAAGCACAACTTCTCCAAAAGAACCCAAACCTTACAGAGGCCAGAACATAAATAACAAAAAGGCCCATTTTCATTTTACATGGCGAGGATGGCACTGTAATCTGAAGGGTGATAGTCATAATCTGTTGTTAAGAAAATCCTTTTCTAGCAGAGGATGAAGTGGAGTTGCTTTGTCTCATGTCTTTCTGATAATTCTGAGTTGGGAATTAGGTACAACTAAGCCTTAAGATTTATCTCCCCTAACACCCCAATTTTATTTCAACAAATGAGAAGTAAAAGAATAATAACAAGTGTGATCCTATCAAACCGTGGTGTGGCTTCTATCCTTCTGTGCAGTCCGCCGCCACTTCTCTGGGGCCGGCCACTGTGAGACCTGGAGTTGCAGGGCTGACGGTGGCACCTGCTGGGTCTAGAGCTGCATGGGCGGGAGAAGGGCAACTCTCACTCTTGCATGAAAAACTCAGCCTAGTTACGACTCCGCTCTGGGCCTCTGTGTGTTTTTCTTCATGAAGAACCACTTCTGCATGCTAATGAGCTAATTTATCTTTAAAGTATGATAAAGGATAAAACATCATTTTCACAGATTATTCTAATAGGTCTATTATTAGCAGCATCACTGCAGTTCTACTTTTAAAGAATATGATTCATGCGTGAAGCCATGCACATGGGAATTTCCTTCCCATCCTCAGCTAAAACATTATAAATTATTTTAGGTATTTTATTATGATGAGAAATGCATTTTGAAATGTAGTTTTTTTGGAGCTCTTTTTTTTTTTCCTACTGGGGAATGAACATGGGACCTTGCACTTGCGAGGCAGGAGGCAGAACCACTGGGCTCCATCCCCGGTCCTAGAGTTTGTTTTCATATGTACAAGCATTCCCGTACTGTGCATGTCAACGGATGTGTGAGTCCTATTGTGTCTTGCTTTTTACAACTTTTATATTTTCAAAATGGTATTATCTTTGTTGTTTTTTCCTTCATCATGAAACCAAGATATGTTTGTTTTTAAATCCAGAAAAATATAACTCACAAAAATAAAAATAGCAATCCGCCAGAAGTATCCTCTCAGTATTTTTTCCTATGCAACTCTATTTACACATACATAACATTTCCAAAAATGGGGGTCATACTATATCTGCCTTTTCTTAAATTTAAAAACATAATGTCAATATTTTCTGTTATTAAATATAAGCATAGATGTAATTTTCATGGCTGCAAAATATTCAGTAATCTATTACTGGGCATTTAGGTTGACTTGAGGTTTTTATTTTAAAGAAAAGGAAGTGAACATATTTGATATATGTTTTGGAAATTGATTATTTCCTTATTATAGATTTCTTTTTTTTTTTTTTTTTTTTTTTGGTACCGGGGATTGAACTCGGGTCCTTGTGCTTGCAAGGCAGGCCACTGAACCACTGAGCTAAATCCCTGGCCCCTTATTATAGATTTCTAATGGCATAATATTCAAAAGGTTTGAACCTGTTAAGGGTTTTTCCATGTGTATGTGCCAAAAGATCTTCAGGGTGGTTGTACTAGTCAGTATCATTATCATCATCAGTTGTATTAGTCAACTTTCCCATGGCAAGGACACCATCTATACCTAATGCATAGGACCTAATGGAGGAGATTTTTCATTTGTCTTATGGTTTCAAGGGATTCAGTCCATGGTCTGTCGTTCAAAGGCAGAAGCATAGTGAAGGACAAGGTTAAATAAAGTTGCATACTTTATGGAAGCCAGGAAGCAAAACAGGAGAACAGCAACAGAAAAGAAGGGTGTTAGGCACCAGACATAGTCCTCAAAGCTAGGCCTCCACAGGCCACCCAGACACACAGAGAAGTGCTCTTTGCTAGTCCCCAGCTTTTAAACCAATTAAGTCGGCAGTCCAGCTTAACTATCTCACCAGGCAGGGGACTTGCCTTTTGCACACACTGTGCCCACCACAAGAGGTTGGTTTGTTTTTAATTTGTACTGCTTTGATTTAAAACTATCTTATAATTCATTATATGTGCATAAATTTGTTTAAGTTATATCTGTTAATCTCAAAGTTCGGCATTTATTATATTTTTTGTCCCTTTGTATTTCTTTTAGTAATGCTTACCTGTGATCTTTGCCATTTTTCTGTTGTGTGGCCAACTTGATTTGTGGAAGCTCTGCATGTATCAGTTCTTTGTATGTAGAGCTTATTTTTTTAAATAAAGAAAAATATTGTGTGAAATAGGGAAAGATTTGCAGCATGAGTCAGAAAACCTGCTTTTGTTAGGGGGTTTTGCCTGTGATTGGCCCATGTCTGTAGGCAAGTCACCTTTATAGACTTTCTTGTCTGTATAACAGGAGGTTGAACTTGATGCTCCCTGAGGTTTCTTTCAGCTCCGCTATCATCTAGAGGTTGCACATTTTCTCCTGAGTGGTAGAATCTGTGAGATTTTTGAACTGAAGGCTTAATTTCAGTGCAGCTATAAAATGTTACTGCCCTCATTTTCCTTTGAAAGGTTTTCTAGATATGCTTAAAGAGATATGCTTAAAGAGATCCCTATGATGTGGGCCATTTTTCTGTATCCTTAAGGAGGGGCATTAGCCACACAGATATCCTAACCTGTTCTAACTGGAGAATTCCAGGCATTATTAGTAACAGGACCGGCCGGCCATGTGTGTATGATTGATTTGCCATTTCAAAGGAGGGTGAGAGTAGAGGGAGGACCTGCCAGGAAGGGCAGATAAGAAACATTTTAATCCACCACCATGGAATTAGAGTAGGAGTTGGATAACACTTGCTACAGATATGCTGGGGCTGTTTATTTATTTTTATGGTTCTTGTGTAAAACAGACTTTCCACATGGAATAGGACTTAAAGGTGAAGTGAGGGGGTGTGTTTTGTAGGTACTTGATGATTTTACCGTGGATCAGAGGCCTAATTGTAACTACAGGATCAGTTCTGAGAATTTTACTGAGTGGAGTTTGTGTAATTAAAAATATCGAGAGCTAACAGCCACTCTCAAACTGAAACATTCACAGAGAAACTTCCTGTCCTGCCCAGGCCCCCTACGAAGTGGTCCAGGTTAGGTGATATTGTGATATTTATGGTGTCCATGTAAGTCATATGAGGTAAATCCTGGCCTCTGTTGGCTTCCAAATAGCTAACTGTATACAGTGTCAGTTGCCAGTTTCTAGCGGTAGATTGTGAGGCCAGTTCCTTGAGTGCTTGCTGTGAAGATGGACTTCAGGAGTGCAGTCAAGCCCAACAAAGTGCCTTGAATACTATAACTTCTCTTTACAAAGAAGCAGGGATCCTCGGGATTTGTTGTAATGTTACTACTGCCCAGTAATTTTCTTGTCAGGCTTTTGTGAAAGAACAGATTTTGTTCTTTTTTGTAATTTTGTTTTTTGCTTTGAGAATTTTGCTCAAGAGAAAAATAGGGATATATGCTAGATACATCTAGGTACCAGGAAAGGTAAGCATGGGAAAACTTGTTCAGTAAAGTGAACCATGGAGTTATTTCAGTGAAATATGCCCATCTCTTATATAGTTAAAAGTAAACTAAAAAAGATCTAATAGAAGTATCATTTTTTGCTAAGCCTAACATATGCAAGTTTCATAGAAAAATATAGTCTTGTTATACCTAAAATGACCAGTGGAAAGAGCCTTTCACAAGGATTTATTTGGATCTAAATAGGAAGAATAAGCCTACCCTCTTAGGATGAATAAAATTTAGTGGTTTAGCACATCTTTCATTGCATTAGCTGGTGTTCAAGTGACCTGAGATAGAGTATTGCTTTACTATACCTTGTTCTATTGTAAAGAAAATTTTACAACAGAGAAGAATTTGGGAAAATAGATTTAAAAAATGGTGCAGTCACTACATTGTTTGCATATTCTTTTCAAGGATTTTCCTGTCATTCATATTTCTAATACATGATAGAATTTACGAGATTTTTAAATCTTTTCTAAAATTGAAAACTATAATAATGGTATACCTCATAAAAGAAGGTGATTATGTGAATCCATCAAAATTAGGATTAAGAAAAATTTAACAAGAAAATTCTGTTTCTCCAAGCATGCAGTTGATACTAGAATATTTATCACTCATAATGCCAGTGTTCCTGTATCTGGTCTTTTCATCCTTTTCATTATATGGGGAGTTGGAGATTTGGGTGTAATAAATTAACATTACAATTATAGATGGACCATGCATAGTGCTAGAATAAGAAATAAATATGTGGCTTTGTGACTGAGCTTGATTTCTGGTTTTGTTTTGCTTTGCTTTGGTGTTAGAGATGATTGTTGACCATCAGATTGAGACTGGCCTGTTAAAAGCTGACCTCAAGGACAAGGTGACTTACACTTTGCTCCGGAAGCACCGGCACCAGACCAAGAAGTCTAACCTCCGGTCCTTGGCTGACATCGGGAAGACGGTCTCCAGTGCCAGTAGGATGTTCACCAACCCCGACAATGGTAATGCAGGGCCAGCTGGCTGCTGCGCTCTCTACCTGTTTCAGTGTTACCCCGCCTGTTGTCATCTTTGGTTTTCCCTCCTCCATATTTCTTCCCCCTTTCCTGCATCTGCCGCGGTCCTTTTAAAGTAGTGACACTCGTGGGCAGGCTTAGTGTCACTGGTGAGTCAGTGTCACTGCAGGCTGCCGGTGTGGTGGAGCAATGCGTGGCCTGTGTACATCTAATCTGATCAAGATAGTGGGACTATAGCCTCAGTGGAACAGCTGCATACAGCAGATGAACCAGCAAATTTGTAGATTATCCAGGACCTCAGGCAATGTGTTTCTGATATGATGGTTTTTCAGAATATGTTTGCTGTTTAATGCAGTGTTCAGCCTATAAATGATTGTTATACCAAAGTAAGATTCAAGATTGTTTTTACCACTTCTGGACCCCATTTGCTCTTTTGATACCTGATAATGAGGGCCGCTGGAGAATGATCATTCAGAGGGGAATATTAATCGAATTATAGAACAGTAGGGAAGGTGGTATGTCCTGTTTACATTTTGTTGCATTTATGGATGTTTCCTGTAAAGTGTTTATCTTTTGTATCATTCTCTTTGTTTCAAATGAGTTTCATGATTGGATTCAGTCTGGAAAGGGAGAGTGGTTTTCAGAAGCGTGGGAAATGAAGGTGCAGGAAAGAGTTGGAAACCTTGGGGTGGTGGAGTTGGGCCAGGACCCTCTCCCCCACCCCCCTCTGTTTTAGTAGTAAGAGAAGTGAGCCTGTAGGATCCCAATTCACTGCTTGCCACTGAACTTTTAGAATAAAATAAAGTAAGTGACTTGTACCAAAATTCAACTCATCCACTCCATTTCTAGAAATGAGGTTTTTCTGAGCTTGCTATGAGAAATTTACTGTTATATTTTTAAAGCAAAACTGACTTTAAACAAGTAACTTGAGTAGAAATGTGCCTTATAAAAACATTCACAAGAGAGAATCTAATCCTACTATAATCCTAGATTCTAATCCCACTACAGTTTGACAGCTGTACCTGGATTATGGTGAAGATAGGAGACGATTTGGCATTGTGTACCTTGTCTTTAATTATTTTTTAGATTGAGTTTTGAAGAGAGAGGCTGTTCAATGGCTGGAAAGCTCATAAAATGAATAGTTTGTTATAACCGAGATTACAAATATTTCATTTTAAGCAACCCATGTATTTGGAGTTATGGCAATTAATGTTGAAGTTCCTTTTTCTATCTTATGTAACAATCCTCTTTCTTTTATGAAACTGAATTTCAAGAGCTGGAGAGTCTTTAATCATGGGATACTGGTGGTGTAAAGGAGTAAGGAAGTACGCTGTTTTCCAGTCTTCCTATGTTTGCAGGTTTACACCACCAGGCCCTTTAAACTAGTGTGGTGTCTTCATGTTCATGGAGCTGCAGACAGAGTATAAGTTAGGAACAGAGGAGTCTTGAGCCTGGTCTCTTCTCATGCTTTTGCAGAAAGTACATGGGTGAGGAATAAAGCTGAAGAGTGGATATCACCATTGTCCAATCTTCCCTCTGAGCGGTTGACCTCTGTACCTCAGAGGAAGGTTGAAAGTGCTTTCATCATTCACCTTTTCACTTGTGAAATGTCATACATGCTGGGAAGACATCAAATAGGAAGGGTAGGCAGTTCTTTTCCGGCTCTTTGATGGATCAGTTTATGCCCTGAAGCATGGACTGTGATTAGATCTTCTTAAACAAGTTATTATTAGTCTATGTGTTACCTAACTCCTTTTAAAATACCACAGGCAAGATTTGGCTCTGAGAGATTCTATAGTAGTGAATTTCATGCGCCTTGAGGTACATTATGGTAGGTTATCAGATGGCAAATTTTTGGCTTTCTAAGGTGCTTGCTCTTAACTTGCAAGTTTACACAATTACTTTTTTATATCTTGGGGTTTAATCACTTAATATCCATAAGAACTATTAAGTGTTCTTAGAATAGTTTTCTAAAATAAAGAATTATATAACTCTTGCTACTATTTTTATAAACCGGAGTCTTATGTCTTTTATAGTTGGAACTAGATTCCAATACCCTCATATAAGCCTAGATAAACTCAAGTCACCTTGATCTCCTATAGTAGGTGAAAAAATAGAGCTGGTGACATTGCCAACTTTAGTTACACCCGCAGCAGCACAGTGAATAGCAGCATTTCTGAGGATCCTTCAGAGCTGGCAACTTTCCCTTCCCTGGTGGTGCACTGGAGGTTTCATCTATGGGAAGAGCCAGTTGTCGGGAATATTGCAAGCTGGTTGTTAAACATGGCTGCTTATAAAAATTAAATTGTATAAATGTATCATTAAATAACTATTAAAAGCAAAGGTAACGAATGCTCAAAAGTCATCGATTTCTACCTATTTTACTGTGATCTGTATGGTTGAGGTCACTCCATCCATTGTGCCTATGTGGTAGAAACACTAAAACACACACAGATGAACATTGCTTCCCGGCCCAGCATTCAGGGACTTCGGGGCTGGAGCCAAGCCCTGGTGTATTTATACCACTGAGTCCAGCAAATGTTACAAAACATGGTTTGATTTATTGTTTTGAAACTTTTCACTTGACTTAAAAAATGATGGGAAAAATATAATAATGCAGATTAAAATTACCAGTATGTAATGTCTGTAGCTACAGAAATGTGAATTGCACACAAATTCAAGAAATGTTTTTTTGGTAACCAAAACTATCATCCAGGTTATTCTGGGAGTCACCTATGTCACAGAAGCATGATGGAAGTCTGAGATACATCTTTGTTGTTGTACTTTTGTCTTATTCAGTAACATACGTGGAGATACCAGTCAACACAGGTGTTGGAACTATGCTTTTTGCCTTCAAACCATAAATTGGCTACTGACACAAGAGCTTAGCAAATATCAGCAAAAGCATTCTGACTGTGCATGCAATTTACAGTAGAGTGCTGCGTATTTTATTATTTCTACAATATATGCTGTATATCTTTTATAACAGTAAAATTTACCATGCACACATACTCACAGTCTCACACACACACACACACACACACACACACACACACACACACACACACTCACACACACACGCACACAACCCTTCCCTAGTTGGTTTGCAAATATTTCTACTAGTAGCATGCAACTGTTTTTATTGATAAAAAAAAATCGCATTTTGTAGAGTTCTAAGATAGTCTGAGATTTAAGGTGCTTTTGAATTTTTTAAGAAGTAAAAACCATTTTCATCTGTAATAAAATGGGAAGATCAGCCAGGTTCCACAGTGTTTGTCATGTGAAGTTGCCACTTGTCTGAAATGACTGTCAATTCTAACAGTAGTGTCTGCCAGGTACTAAATTTTAGGCAAGTCTTATAACTTCTCAGTGTGTGGGAAAGGTGGGAAAGGACCGGACCCTTGCCCTGCATGGTCTCGGAGTACAGACGTCCTTTGAAGATGGCTTTGGTCATCCAGGCAGACTTAAACTCTGAATTTCCTTTTTCTCTAATCCAACTTGTTGACCTCAGTTTTTTGTTTATTTTGTTTTGTTTTTTTGAGACAGGGTCTCACTGTGTAGTTGAGACTGACCTGGAACTCACTATGTAGCCCAGGCTGGTCTTGAATTCACAGAGATTCTCCTGCCTCAGTCTCCCAAGTGCTGGGATTACAGGCAAGTGCCACCACGCCCAGCAAGACCTCAGTTTTTGTTAGTGAAAAATCATCTCCTTCTTCCAGTAAAAAAATTGGAAAGGTAATTTAGTACTCAGTTTTGATGTCTGGAAAGCAGAGATAATGCAAATAAAATCACGGTGTGGTGGCATATGCCTATTACCTCAACATTCTGGGAGGCTGAGGCAGGAGGATTGCAAGTTCAAATCCCTCATTGGGTGGCTTTGCAACTTAGCAAGACCCTGTCTCAGTGTCAAAATAAAAGAAAAAAAAAAAAAGAAAAAAGAAAAACAGTAATGACATGTAAAATGTTTAGAATAGTAACTGACACATAGTAATTGCTAAACAAGTATTATTTAATTACATACATGTTTAAGCACAATAATTTGGGAATGTAATCTTGTGTGAGTAGGAATGGTTGTTAGAATATTGCTTTCTAGTTTACTTTCAGGAGGAACTTTATAGATACAGTCCTGATTGATTTCCTTGCCTTTTTTCTTTCCTTTCCCCTTTTCTCTTTCTTTCTCATTTGTTTTCTTGGTGGTACAGGGTATTGGACTCAAGACCTTTGCACTGAGCTACTTTCCCTGTCCAGTTCTCCTTTTTTCTTTTGAGATGATAACCTTAAGTTGCCCAGGCTGGGCTTGAACATGCATCTTTCTGACCCAGCGCTCAGTGCTGGGATGACAGGTGTGCACCACTGCACCTGGCTGCTCTGGGCCTCAGTGTAGGTGATACCACCATGCTTTCATTAGCAGTGGGGGCAGAGCCTTTCTCTGCACAGCCCTCTTGAGGATCCGTGGTCCCCACACTGGCTTTACTCTCTGCTGCAGGGCTGCCTGAGGCCTCAGACCCTCCTGGGCATCCAGGACGCTGCACTCTCTCAAGCAGACGGAGTGGGGCTCGGAGTAGGTGGTGGCTCCAGGCAGGGAAGCTGGCACCTAGTGCTGTGCTACTTGCTCAGCCTTTGCCTGAGGCCTGTCAATGCCTCTTGTCTGTTTCTAGAGATCCATGGCCTGCTCCTGACTGAACTTCTGGGTTTCATTTTCAATTCACTGCTTTTGTCTATTGAAGTGGAACTGTGTGATCCACTTGGCCCCACTTTCTCCTGAAGCTGGGCTCCTCATTCAGAGTTAGCTGTCTGCTGGCAGGAGGCTGCCTCTTATCTCCCACATGGCCGCTTTGACAGGAGCACAGAGCACTTAGCGGTATTTTAGAAATACCGCTATTTCCTACAGTAACGTGGACAGACAAGCATTAGCATTGCAGAAAACAACAGAGAGAAATCAGTTCTTGTTGTTGCTGTTGTTCATAGAGATGCAAGTGGGATTGGTC